GAGTGTTATTACAGGGAACAAAACAGTATTCTTTCTTAGAAAAAAACTGTTTAAAAACATATGTTTAATTTTTTCCCCTCATGATTGTGGTTTACCATCATCCGGCCTCATTCACAAATGTAATTTGGGTTGAGTGTAACACTTCAAAATAAACGGCCCATTCATAACCACAACTTTGAGAAATGCTGAAGTCACGGTCGTCTTTTTTGTAATTGATAAATACCCAGTGCCAAATAACATTTCGCTACAAAAAAAATGGGTTAATCTAAAACACGATATTCTAAGTACCTTTTCTTTTGTTCGAAAAAATTTCCTTAGATATTATTTTAATGAATTAGCCTTTATAGCAGTTTCAGAATATTATGAGCATCTTGATTATCTGACCCCATCTAATGGATGGAAAAATTTATGGGAATCCTTGAATAATTACTTAAAATCTATCGTATGAATAAACGTTATTGTTTCCTCTTCCAAATGTTTCGAATCTAAAAAATGAAGCAAATAATATTTGTAATTGTTTTTTGTTTCTGTTCTTTAAGAATTAGAACAGCGACATAAAGAATTCTTTACCTCATGGTTCTAACAAAAATATTTCAAAAAAATCAGCTTCATGCAATTACTGTGGAGTGAGATAGGACATTGATCATCTACTTAAGCACTGTCCAAGATTCCGGGCACTTCGTGGAACCCACATGAATAATTGCGAAGAGGAACATCAATTCTTCGCTATATTGACCTGCAGGAAAATTGTGACTCAAATTATTAAACAAACCCTCGAGGACAGATCAACTGGCCCCAGTCATGAACCAACAATAGAGCATGTCATCGTTAATTTTTACTAATCAACTTTTAGCCTTACATTTTGAATTTTTATCTACTTTTGATTTTAGACTTCATAGACTTCTAGTCAGACTTTTACTTTTAGACATTTACTATTTGGACTTTTAGCTTTCATTGATTTTAGTTTTGAGATTTTTTATCTCTTGTTTCCTTATTATTATAATCATTTAATTCTCGACATTTACACCGGCGCTATTGGGTTTCATTGCCTTTAACACATGTTTTTAATTGTCAAACTTTATTGTCCACCACTGTCATTTGGCGAAATTTTACTGTAACTTTAGTTTTTAGAGAAATTTTATTGTAATAATTTTACTTTTATCTCTGTATACCCCCCTGGGGTGGGTCGGAGTTCAACCTTACTTGCCTCATGGTTCTCCGCTTTCGTCTCTTTCCTAGAATTACCAATTTTTGAGACTCCAATTCAAAGCTTTTAGTTGTATGTACCGTGATTTCCTACTACACTGGCGTGCAAAACTTAAGCAACAAGTGCGTTTTTTGTCATAACTCTACAAGAAATCATCCGATTGACATGAAATTTGAATATGATGTACATTATTTTGCACTTAAACGATGGTAAAAGAATAATGGAGCAGAAATGAATATAAAGCTTAAAGTAGGGTATGGAACAAAAAAAGGCTTTAATATATAGTGGCGTTACACATGATTACCTGAAGAAGCGCAAGTACAACTGGCAGATGTTCCCTAGTATGGGATATGCCCTCCCCTTACTGTAATTGTTGCTTGGCAACGTCTCTCCATGCTAAGCACCAGATTATCCAGGAGTTCTTGGGCCTCCTTCAACGCATTTTTCAGCTGATGGGTGTTACCAGGAGGATACTGTCGTGTCGCAAGACGTCTCCCTAATGCATCCCACACATGCTCTATGGGATTTAGATCTGGAGAGTAAGCTGGCCAATCCATTCGTGTGAATTATTATCCGCAATCTGAATATTTTTTAGATCACAGGCGTAACGCGAAAGAGACTTTTTATTTCAAGAAAACTATTTAAATTATTTTGTGAATATATGCATTTTTATTATGCTTGTATGTATAATACTTATAATATAGTTTTCTAAAAACAAAAAGTGTGTGTCTCCATACACCTAATATTCTTCTTAAGTAAATTGAACTTTTCGAATTATACTCTATTAACTTTAGAGAATTTTGTTTAGTCTACAGAGACTACCCTAGTACAGTTAAAAGAAAGAATTTAGTTGTTCAAATGAATTAAGGTATCTTTTTAAAACTAAAAAGATATCTAACTAATTTAAGTCAAAAAAATTAATTTGAAGCACATGTAGTAACTAACAAAATTATTTAGACTCTTAAATAGCTCCAGAACTTTTCTGGATTCTAATATTTACACTAATTGTTATAATTTTTTAAGGTATTAAAGTGAAATGTATTACACGAAATTTTTTATCAATATTATTAATTTGTTACAAAATAAACGTCATGTGAAACAATTGCTAATTGATACATTATCTATATATAATAAAACTATTAAATATATTATATAATTTAATTCTGTTGCTAAAAGTTGGTTTCTGCAAGCCTTCCTTTTATCTTTGCATATCTAAGTTTTTAAAGATATTTATTTTAAATTATGTTTTACAGCCTGAATCACATGTCATTAAATTCACATAATTTATGAAGTAATGCTTATTTTTTTCTCCTGATCTTTCCCTATGGTTCTAGGATAAAGAGTCACTCATTACAAAAAAAAAAAAAACTATTACAAAAAAAAATTTATTAGCCTGTGGTGAAACTGTATTTGTTGTAATCAATGCATGTAAATTTTATTAAAATTAATAACATTTAAGCAGCATTCCATTAAATTTTCTAAAAGTTAAGAGTGAATATTCTTAGGTGTTAAATAAAAATTCATCTTTGGCACAACTTTAAAAACTGGATGTGACCAAGCAAAATGATTTTCAGATTGGTTATCAGCATTACTACATTAGAAAAGAGAAATACCGGCTAGATATCTTTAGCTATTTTTCAGCGGTATTAACATTAGTGAATTTTCCAAATAATTACAGATACTTATGCATGCACAATTTAAACAAAAACAAAAGAAAGCTTTTATTTTCATTTTAGATATAGTAAAAGATTATAAGGCATAACAGTACATTTTACATAACAAAATATTACAAAAGAGGTTGACAATACTACCTAGAGGGTGAACTCAAAAAGTTTTTTAAAAATGAGAAATTACTAAAAAGAGAAGATACATAGTAGTTTATCTACTTCTTAATCTAGTAATGATTATAAATAATTATAGTAATGATTATGAATATCCTTAACTGATTCAGTCTTAAGAAGTCTTCTATGAATGTAATTATTTTACTTTTTTAAAAATTAAAAAATAATATATATATATGTAATAAAAAATTATATTAAAAATATAATCATGTCATTTTATTTCTAAATATTATTGCTGCAGTAAGAATGATCATTTGAGTCGTGCAAATTAATTAACTCGTTATTACTTAAGACTGAGTCAGTTAAGGATATTTTATAATCATTACTAGGTTTAGAAATAGATAAACTACTATTTAATCTTCTCTTTTTAGTAGAGAAAAATCTTGGTTGAGGGGCAATTTTTTTATTTACAGGTTCAGAGCTGACTGTTTCATCAGTTTTTGGTTCATCATCATCTATTATACTAATAATAGCATCAAGATGTTAACTGTTTTTTATTTTTTCATCAGTTAAAGTTTTATTATCTAACAGCCTTAATGCATGAGATAGTTTGGTTTTCAACTGACTATTATCATTATTTGAATTATCTAAATTTACTGTGCTAATGAAACTTGCACTTTCCATAAATTCATTAATAACAATACTTTCTTTTGCTCTTAAAGGTTCCCGGACATTTTTAAAAATTGTGCCTACTGCATGTATATGCTTACACATATTTGCTCTAACAATGAAATCAATGCATGAACAGGAATAACAATGTATACAGATTTTACAATAATTACAAAACAATTTACAATCACATTCATTTTGTTCTTTTTTAACAGTGTAAGAACTTCTTGAGCAGCTTTTGGACTTCACCTTCCACGTAGTTGTGTCAACTTCTTCAATATCGTCATTTGATAAAACTAAACTATTCCTATGTCGAATATGTATCTCCGCTATCTTAGTGGAATTCGCTCCTTTAATTAATTTGACACAGCGATCCTATGTTTTGTCTTTTACGATTTGGATCAGATGGGCAATGCAGGCATCAAGCCTCTTACACTTTCGACCTTCCATGTAAATATGTTTTATCACCTTATGGAGAGCTTCCAAATACATATTGGTATTTATACCAGCATTGACTCTGTGGCAGTATGCCCACACTTCAGGTCTCTCAGAGTAATATCTTTTAAAGTACTCCCCAAAAGCTCTAGTATCCTCATCTTCTATAAGTTGATTTAAAAATGCTTCCAGCATTATAACAAATTGTTCGTGATTTACTTCTTCCATGAGAGTCCTAGCATATTTGTAGACTGCTATTTTTTTTTTCTTTTGATGTTATCTTGCACAACATCTTCCTCCAATTTTTATCGATGTGCCATGTACATAAAAGTCTCATTTCAGCCTTGCCCATAACTCTTTCCCATGCATTATAATAACAAGGGGCATCGTCTGACATAAACACACGGGTGAGAATTGTTGATTCCTTTTCTTTTATTACGGTGAAAAAGAGTTCCATTTGGTGCGTGTCGACACTGTTTGATACACAGTATGCGGATGGAAACCCAGCTCCAAAATCGTCAATCACCATCAGTGTGGTCAACTGAAAATCGTATTCATTTAACCCATGGGTCGAGTCTATGCATATTTTTTCCCCTCCGAATTTTACCAACATTTCTCCTTGCATAGGAGACATGATAATCAAGCAAAAGTCATTCACACTTAGTTTATGTGATAACACACCTCGTTTCACACCTTGTTGTTGTCTAATGTGTCCTTATTTTCAATAAGAAAATTTAAAACTATAATGCATGCAATTTTTATGAAGTATTCAAGTTTTTAGTAATTATAATTTTATTTGTCAAGTAAATTTAATAGATGCATTATAAGTTACATCAGAACTCCAGTACTTTTTATAAAAAATTACTGGAGAATTCTCACCGAGTTCATTAATTTCTTCAACAAACAGATCTACACTAATAGAGTCATTTTCGTGACGACTTTCTGTTTTAAAAAGGCAATTGGCATTGCCAATATTTCTTAAATCTTGCCTTGTCAAGAGATGGATTCTTTCAAAACTGTCTGTCAAAGAGTTTCTAACATCATTCAACAACTGCTTCAATGAAATTCCATCCGAAATTTTTTCTACAATTGAAAAGAAAACAATTAGCTTCATTTCTTATAAATTCGAAATAATTTATGATCACTTTATAATATTTTATGAATAAGCTATTTACTAATTAATTAGATGATTACAAAGGTTCTTTTAAATATGTTAATATAAATGAGAGAATAGTAAAATCAATCTCAATTTTAAGTCTACAATTAAAGAAAAAAAATCATAAAATTGATATTCAATCTAAAACAAAGTAGACACGTTCCAAGTGAAATCAACCAAATTTAAAAAAAATTTCAACACTGTCACATCACAGATTTCCATAAAAATGTTAGAAAAGTTCGGTGAAAAACTAAAAAATTTTTTTTCTTCAGAATTTGCTTTTAAATTAGTATCCATTTAAGAAAACAAAATCATAGATGGTGGCTGTGATGCTACATTTCGTATTACATATTTTTATTTACTTAATCTTACTTTTTTCACAATCACTATTAATCAAATTATATTTCAATTAAATCAATCAGTTAATCTTTATAAAGACTGTCGCCAATAGCCCATTGTGCACGTAAATGAACTACAACAATAACCTTTATATAAAAGCGAACAAAAAATATTTTATGTTCGCTTTTGCAAATAGTATGAAAAAAATAATGATTAAAAAAAAGTAAGTTTAAGTTATTAAAATTTTAAAAGCTAGGAAATATGTAATGCCAATTGTGGCATCACAGTGGTTTACATGATAAAAGTGTCAAACTGCTATATGATAATGGCCCACTTCAGTCAGAATGATATTATAGAACTATAATGATGTTATATAGAATTAATATTTAACATTCTTTCAAAAAACTTTAAGCACTTCAATTTATAATGGGGTTCATGATTTTTTAATCAAAATTTAAAATTAAATATATGATATTAAAAATCAAATTATTTTTTATTTAGATTGAATTTTAAATTTTTAATACACAATAAAAATGCATAATCCAGATTCAATCAAAATAATATAGGAGTAGGGGTGAGTGGGGCATGTTGAAACATTCAAGTTGGTAGCCACTCAAAAACAAGCAGGGAATTCTGGGAACATTTATCTAGTGCTAGACTCCATTTTATTTTCAGGACTCTAGGTCTTCAAGTTTTTCTAGCAGATAGAAATTTATGATTTGAACCAAGGTAAGTAAATTTCCTATGTTTTTTAAAATATTTATTTCCTTTTAAATACTATACTAATTTAATTTGAACTTATGTAGTTATATCCTCTGAAATTCAGGCTAAAACTTAATAGAACACCTTTAGATGTAACCATAGTTTCTTTAGGCCTAAAATTACAAATAAAACAAAGTGTAGCATGGGGCAAGTTGAAACACTTATAAAGGGGCACATTGAAACACTGTTTCAACATGCCCCCTTTTCAATCTTAACTGTTAAGCTCCTGTTACCTCTTTAAAATATATTTATTTTAGATATAATTACTAACATTAGCAAAATATTTCTTATTGCTGAAGGGCCAGATGTTAAATAATGATATTTGCGTATCATTTATTTAATCTAAATGTTAAGAACCATTTTGCACAACATGCACTAACATCTACTAACAAATGTTAACTAAAAAATTCTATTATATAAAATCTAAATTAAATCAAACACTATATTTAAGTTTGTGAATTGCTAAATAATTGTAATGACTTTAGGTTTATAAATAATTATGGAAGTCAAATATTTTTTATTTAATTTTATTACAGAAAAACAACTGTTTGATTACACATATACTGTCTTTTATGCAAATTGCTTAATTTTTTATTTCAAATATACATCTGGTTAAAAAGTATCATATGAATAAGCTACAGATTGCATTGCATTTTATTTAAGAAATAATTATTTGATACTTATTTACTAATTAAACTGCTTTATTATTAAACTTACATTATCAAAAATTAAATATGTTTTAACTGGATAGTTATAAAAAATGCAAAATCATTATCTGGCATTGTATGAATAGCAGTACAGATATTATAAAATTTTCTAATCATGGGTATAACTTTGATTTTAGATGGTACGAAAATCTACGAGAGCTAGTACGCCTGCTGATGTTATGCTGAGAGCAGCAACTGAGGTACTGAAAAATAAATATTCATGTCGTGCAACTGTTAAGAAGTATGGAGTACCCCATGTCACTTTATCCAGATATGTAAAGAAACTGAAATAAATTGAGGAACTATATAAAATTGTATAGTTCTGATGTTGATGTTTTGAAAATTACTTCCACTAAAAATACATCAGTTAATATTGACTCTACTGCTGAAGTTAGCACCAATTCTGGAACAGTTACTCTTAAAAACCCTGTCACTGAAGTTCCCAGATATTTTGTGGTAGGATACACCAAACAACGACAGGTGCTAAATCCTGGGGAAGAGGAACAACTCGTAAAAAATTTAAAGCGCGCCTCTCAAATATATTATGGTTTACGTCCACAAGAAGTGAGGAAGCTTGCCTATAACTATGCTGTCGCTAATAACAAAATTATTCACGAATTATGGCATACTAAAAAAGTAGCTAGTAAAGACTGGTTCAATGGTTTTATGAAAAGACATTCTACTATATCCATTCGAGTTGCCAAAAGTACTTCACTAGCTCGTGCAACAAGTTTTTATGAAAAAAATGTTAATGATTTTTTCGATAATCTTCAAACCGCAATAACCAGATACAGCTTTGGTCCAGAAAGCATTTATAATGTGGACAGTGGTGTATGCAAGGGAGGGGTTTAACCCCCCCCCCCTTGAGCTCAGACAAAATGGCAAAAATAAAAATTTTAGTACAAATTATGCGGGCTATTATTTTTTAAGACTATACATTTTTATTTGCCTTATGCCTACTTTTCTTTCTTACGGTATTTCTCAGAATACTGTAAAAACACTTACTATAAATAGGGTTGTACTTTTGAAACCAAATTCACGTGATACTGTTACGGACTGGTTCCTTTCTGTCCTGCCAGTCGCGGTAGTTTTCGAGACTGGCTGTCATTCACGAGGTCTTTAAGCAATGATTCTGGAATCCTAGATGTTCTGTCTTTGAGACAATTCGAGAATTTTGGAGATGTGGTGATAAATTATATAAAAGGGTGAACGGAGTACAGTGGAGTTAGTTAGTCAGACTAAGAGCTATCTCTGCCGCTTGTCTTTCAAAGCCCGTCACTAAATCTGTTTTGTTTTAACAAAAAGTTCATTCAATCACCGAACCCGTCCTTGCCACTATTTCGAGTAGTGAAGAAACCAGTAACAATACCATTGGCGATACTGTGCTCGTTGAGGTTATTCATTCCAGCTCGAAACTTTGAGATCGTAGTAAAGCGGATATTTCTGTGCCAATGTATATATATATGTATATATATATATATATATATATATATATATATGCTGTTCTTGGATCTTTAGGATGTAAAAACACAAGAATTTAAAATTTTTTTATTATTTTGAGAAAAAATCACGACCTGAAATTAGTGAGGTGACAGCATCTAGTATAATTTAAGTTTTTCTGTTGAACAGAAATGTGATACTTCCGTTGAGGAAAACGTTTCCAGCATAACAAAATCTGATGAATGTGAAAGTGGCCCTCAAAGTGTTACTCCCCACTCATATGACATTGGACTTTTTTCAGAAGATATTACATGCGAGAAGATATAACATTATGTTCTTAAACTTAAAAAATCAAATCAAAATTCTTCTAAATAATTTTGTCTAAATAAAAAGTCAAAATTGTCTAGCTGTCTAAATTAGTGAAATAATAGTGCTTTAAACACACTCGAATTTCCTTTAGTAGTTTCAGAAAATTATGAACATCCCCCTTGAAAAAATTCGGCGTACGCCACTGAATGTGGATGAGACAGGAGTAATGACAGTTCACAAATCAGTTAAAATTGTTGTGTCAAAAGGAAGTAAGCAAGTTGGTGACATTACATCTGGAGAACGTAGGAGTTACTTACCATCTGTGCTGCAGTCAATGCAGCTGGCACAGCAGTTCCTCCGATGATGATTTTTCCACGTGTCAAATACAAAGAACACTTTGTGCGTGATGGCCCACCTGGATGCTCTGGTGCTTCTCATATATCTAGATGGATGACAAAGAAGAATTTTTTAAAATTTGTTCAGCATTTCGTTACACATACTCGATGTTCAAAAGATAGGAAAGTTTTACTTTTATTAGATAATCATGAGTCTCATATTTCTATTGAAGTTCTTAATTATGCAAAGGAAAATGGTATTGTAATGTTATCCTTCCCACCTCACTGCTCACATAAATTGCAGCCCCTTGATAGAACAGTATTTAGGACTTTCAAAATCTGTATAAATACAGCTAGTAGTGCATGGATGGTTAATCACCCAGGGTTAACCATGACAATCTATTATATCCCAGGCATTATAAAAATTGCTTTCCCATTAGCATTTACTCAAGCAAACATTATTTCTGGATTTTCAGTCTCAGGAATATGTCCTTTTAATCGGCACTTTTTTAGTGAAATTTATTTCCTGCCATCAGATGTTACTGATCGACCTAATCCAAATACCATTGATACAAAGCCTACTAGCCATTGTTTGTCTGCAATACCTAGTTCTTCATTAAATATTACCCCTACAAGTTCTTCAATTATTTCAATAAATAGCCGCTCTCCTGTAGTATCGTTGGAAGAAATTCGCCCTTTCCCAAAAGCAGGACCAAGAAAAAAAACCAATAAGGGTAAGAGAAATAATTCAACAAATATTTTAACAGATACGCCAGTCAAAAATCAAATTATTGAAGAAGCTTTAAAACAAAGAGAAGAGAAAGAAATAAAGACTGCTCGCTCTATTGCGGCAGCCAAAAGAAAGCTTACCCTTGCAAACCCTGTTTCAATCAAAAAAAAGTGAGAAACATGCAAGCAAGAAAATACCCTTGGAAAGTGACACAGATGAAGAAATTGAATACCATTCCAGTACAGAAGAGAATTCTGTTGAAATAGATGTGCCAATTTCAGAGGATAGGAAACCAGAAATTAATGATTATGTAGTCGTGAAGTTTCCCACCAAAGAGAAAATTTTACATTTTGTGGGCATCGTAGAGAAAACTTCTGATGATGAAGCAGAAATTAATTTCCTTAAAAAAATTAAGTGGTGAAAATGGATTTGTTTTCCCTGAAAAGGAAGATCGCGGTTCATACCCTTATGAAGGCGAAGACATATGTCTTACACTTCCACTGTCCAAACCATTTGGTGGCACTTACAGATGTGCTAGAAAAATGGTTTTCTCCTATGATCTGTCAATTTATGAAGGCCTATAATATTCAAAGCAATATGGTGTGATAAATATATAATATCTGTAACTTCATATCTAGATAATAAAATAATTTGTCAACTTATCAAATGGTGTTCCAACTTGCCCCACTCTATGCTCCAACTTGCCCTACCATGGGGTATGTGGGAACAGATTTTCCATGTTTACATTAGCATCTATATATTTCTTCAAGCTCAGTGTTTTAATTTTTTTTTTTCATTTTAAATTGTTGCTAAAAGTTGTGGATACAATATAAGCCCAAAAAGTTTAAAAAATATCATCAACTCACAAAGTTATGCTCTAAAAACAAAAATATGTCCCAACATGCCCCACTCTCCCCTAATTTGTTCTTAACAACTCAAAAATAGGCTAGTCATAAATTAGACTTTCTTCTATCATAATTAAATTTGTGTGAATATAAATAAGATTTTTCTCCAATAACTGTTAATTATATTGTTTAAGTTCAGTTCTTCAAAAATCTGATAAAAATTTAGAAACCATTCTTGATAAAGCAAGCATTGTGCACTTTTGATAATCTTAATTAAAAGAACTTTGAAAAGGAGACAAAGGATGTAGTATAGGGGGGCACAACCATCTTGAGTGAAGGGCCACTTGCACAGCAGGTTGGCTAATGAAAGGCCGCACATGTATTTAGACATGTCAATAACAAATGCAGTAATATTTATTTAAACATTCGCATTCTATTTTTTTTTATCAATGAACTTAGTAATATATTTTAAAAAATTAAAGGTGTTCCATTATTAGAATTCATTCAAAAGTAAAAAAACCTTCACTTACCTTTTTTTTTTACCACAAAAAAAAAATGCTATTTTTATCATATGCTGTCGTTGTTCATTTACGTCGCACTAGAGCTGCACAATGGGCTATTGGCGACTGTCTGGGAAACATCCCTGAGGATTATCCGAAGACATGCAATCGCAATTTTGATCCTCTGCAGAGAGGATGGCACCCTCGCTTCGGTAGCCCGACGACCTGCACGCGAAGTCGAACACTTTACGGTAGAACAGTTTAACGAGGACCCATACCGCACACCCTCGGTCCATACGCAGGCTGATCCAAGTGGTCACCCACCCGCACACTGACCGTAGCCAGTGATGCTTGAGTAAGGTGATCTGCTGGGAACCGTGTCTTAACGATCAGTCCACTGCGGGACATTTTTTGTTTTTTTTTTTAATCATATGAACAATAGATTTATCAAAGTAAATAAACATTGAAAGAAAGAAATTTTTTTTTTATCAATACAAAAATTCATTTTAGAATTAAATTCTAATAAATAAAAAAAATGCAATGCCCACAGAATGAAAGCAGGAAAAAATTTAGTCAAAATTAAGTAATATAAATTCAAATTAAATATTCTAATTGAAGAAAATTTATAGGTTTTAAACAAAAGTCTGTAATAAANCATTAAAATATGTGCGTCATATTAAAATAACGTATTGTGCATAATTTGAGACGGTCATAATTTAACGTGCATTTTAAAAAAATCTGGATCAAAGTACCCGTACTTTTTACTGTAAAACCCAGTTTTATCGTAAGATTTAAGGGAGCAAAAAATCTGATATCCGCCATTTTTGTACAGTAGCATTTACTATAAAATCACCAAATCTCTGTAATAAAGTAAACTTTACTTTAAAAGTTACTGTTTAAAAGTTTACGGTAAAAACTAATTTTGCAGCAAAAGGAAATTTACGTATGCTGCACTCGGGGTTCGAGTACTTTATATCGTAATTTTTTCCACAATTTCTTACAATGTAGAGAGCTTAATATCTATTTGGGAGAGTTGCATTTGGATACAATTACACTATTGCCGATTTTTTTTAAAGATTATTTTATAAATTAATTTATACAAAAACGTAATCCAAATATCCGATACGAATGTTATTCGTTTTTTTTTTAAAAAAAATCATTTTCTAACATTTATTCATTTTGCGTGTGTTCGCAACTAATTACACAGACTCTAATTCGAAACTGAGAAAATTCATCCTCCGATGCATCGCCGTTTTAGGTACTTTACGGTACTTTTATTTGCGTTGCACCTTTTTTGTAATCGAAAAAGATCACTTAAGCAACAAAAAATTGAAATCTTAACTACAAACAGTAAGCAGTTTAGAAATTCACGTTTTCCTCCATTTTATGAATTTCTCAAGTTGCAATAACATTACATTTAAATTAGGGATGTAACAAGTATTTAGCCCTTCTGTGAAAAATTCAGTTGGTTGAATGATCTGTCAAATATTCGGCAGAATATCTCTTAGAAATGAATTTTTCTAAGTTTTTTTTATTTTTGAATTTTAATAGATATTACTTTAAAAAAAAAAGAAAATTATAATCAGATAAGTCAATTTTGTCATTTTTTCGATACTTTGAGAATTGAGAAGGATTTTTTTCCATTTTTTGCTGTTTTTATTATAATCCAGTATTTTAACAGAACGTCTCATACTAATAATTTATTATCACTCTTTTCCTGTACTGTAATATAAATAACCAGTAACATAGAAAAGTGTGATTTTCAGTATTAAAGTTTTATTTCAGGAACTAAGAAAAATTTGTTTTTTCTGTTTTTAGGCATTTTTATTATGACAGCATTTTTTTTAAAAATAATGTTACTAATAAAATTTATTTTATAGCAATTTTTTTCTTCTAAAATTATGGAAATGACAAAAATTTAAATTGAGATTTTCAGCATAAGATTTTCATTTAAAAAATTAAGAATGTTTTTTCTAAATTTTTATTTTCTTTAAATAAAAAAAAAACTTTTTTTAGACGTTTTTATTATAACGCATTAATTTTTAATAGCAGTTCTATTGACTTAATTCTTTTTTATTGGCTTTTTCTGGTAATTGGAAAACTGAGATGTTAATCTTTAAAATTTTCTTCCAAAAATTAAGATTGATTTTTATGTTCTCTTGTTTCGCTTTGCAACATTTTCAAAAACGTTCTTGATTGGCCTTATTTTTTAGAGTTAATTTAAGAATAGGTTTTTCCAGGAAATATTATTCTGAGCATTGAAATGTTAGTTTCAGTGTTGCTATGCTGCTAAAAGATTTTGCTATTTGGCCCCAAGTGTACGGCATTCAGTCGATTTTTTTTTTTTTTTTTTTGCCAAATATTTGGTTTTTGACCAAATCACAATTCATTACCACATTCGACCAAATCATATTCATTGCCGAAAAAAAAAGAAGGAAAAATAACTAGAGTTTACAATAAAACTGTACTGAAATACTGTATCAAAAAGTGATTATTTAATTGGGCAATTAACAATCAAACATCATCATAGGTAAATAACGGGTAAATAGGTAATCATCTTAGTAACATCATAGGTAAATAACGGGATCATCAAAATCATGTGGAAAAGTATAGAAATAATTGGGGGGGGGGAAATTACTTATATTTATGCTGAACTCAGCACAAATAAAGCTTGTCAAATGCACGATTTAAAATTTGCATGTCGTAATAGAATAATTGAAATTTTTTATAATACGTGGGAACGCATAGCAATAACTGCCGAAAAAAATTGTTGAAATAGAAAAAGAATTGCAAAAAAAAGATAAAAAATCACTTAGATTTAAGATGAAATCGTCACAAATAAAGTACACCAAAAAGTGGTTATTTAAATAGGCGATCTGAAAGAGCCAAATTTTGCGACCCTACTTACGGCAACCTTACGTGTTATACCTGGTTTTTTGTTCCACAAAGTATAAAAAAGCTCTGAAATTTATTAGACTGGAAAACAAAGGTTTAAATTTTATTTAAGTCAACAAAACACTTGATATACAGATTTCACTTTAAATTAAAAATAACACGATTTAGAGTTTTAGAAAAAATATTATTACTTAAATTGCAAATGCTATGGCAAGAAGGAAATTACTTATTATATTAATTTAGTCAAATAATTTTACATTTAATTCGCTTTTTTTTTGTTTTTCGTTTGTTTCACGTAATCAGGCTGTAGTTCCAAAAGAAAAGAATTTTCCTCTTTATTCAATAACTCTCGAACTAGGGAATAGGTTTGAATGAAATTTGATATAATACGTTTATAACATACAAACAAAACAGCTTTTCAATATCGTCGTAAAATGTGGCGATTTATGCGAATTTTGGCCTGGTTGTGTTAATATGCAAGTACCAGATCATTTATATTTACCACAAAATTGGCTTAAAGAAAGCGCATTAAACGTACATTTAATAAAGAAACTGTTAAAATTTATTATGTCAAAACGTGATGACTTAAAAGTGCAATTAAAAATTGCCATTTTTAAAATTTTTTTTATTGTGTTTAGAAGCTCTCGCAAGCCGCACTTCAGTAGTCGAAGGGCCGCAGGTTGTGCACCCCTAATGTAGTATATACATTCCTATGCATCTACACAGGGTGGAGACTACAGACATGGCATAAATGAACATTGCAATTGCTGTTTATTTTTTAAATTTTATGCTAACTAGAAATATTATAAACTGCATTCTATGAATGAAATGTAAATTACAAAAATTACTCATTATTAGTTAACACTTTACACACAGCCTAATTAATTATCATTAATTCAAATTATAAATTATGAACATAACACTCACTTGCTAATTCACTCTTCGCTGATACTTCGCTTTTTACAACCATTTGCCAAAATAATTGAACCACTAGAATAGTAAGATGACCTGAATTGAACCTCAATTGCCTCTTTCCATTGCAAAAAACCTGTGTAAAATAAAAAACTTCATTTAATCTTCACAGTTTATTCAAATACTACTGCAATATTACATATTCAACAAATTCAAAATGGAAATACAAACACATTATTCAACAACAACATTCATACAAACACATTCAGGAGCAGTTTTAACAATAATAATATTTATTCAAACTCCCAAACAAACAAATGTACAAAAAGATTCACTGTGATAGTGAAAATAAAGCCTTATGACTGACACTTCAAACTGAACACATAATAGATGTTTTTTAAAACTCCTCACTTCAATCTGAATCTAATCTTTGTAGCTATTCTATAAGTTAACAAAAATAACAATCACAATTACTTTCGCAGTATGTACTTTATTGTAGTTAAACAGCTAATCCGTACACAGCAGATTTGCAAATCCTAATTTTTAATACCATAATATAACAATGGCAACATTAGTGTAATTTAAAATTTTATACAATTCATAAACTTACTTGTTAAAAGAATCAAATTGGTGCTCTTCCTTTTCTTCCACATTTTCAATGTTATGAGATTTGGATAGGTGGCTTCTTAACATGGAGTTTAGAGTATGTTTAGGATCCATGCTTCTTACCGCTTTAGGATCCATGCTTCTTAATAACATTCAACGACAGAAAAAAGCAGCTATTCGGAAGTTTTTTCTGTGCTAGTGTTCCCTGCTATTGAAAATAAACTAATTTTTTCAAAAGTTGGCAACAGATAAATATTTACTTTTTGTTTACATCATATGAAAAAGATATATTATTTACTGTATTATTAAATTGTGCGTAGAATTCCATGTCACAATATAACATATANGTTCCCTCCGCCAGAAACGTTATCTTCCTTCCTCGGCGACTCTTCGCCAACTTGCCGTAGTTATGATAATATCCCCAACTTGTACACTATCTGTGTTCTTTTAGTAGCTAATATAAATAGTTCATTCAGTCTGTAGAATTTAGATATCTAGATGTTTTAACAGTGCCGTAACTTCACCCTTCGGGGCCCTGTGGCTCAAATTTTTGCCGGGGCCCTTTCTAAAACTTTGTGTACTCCATCTCTAATCGTCATTTTAGCTACTTATGTATCATGTTGATTAATATATTTATGAAAATAAGTCACTTGTTCACATAGAAATGGGATTACAAAATATTGTAAGTTGTAAATTTAACACTAGAATGTAAAATGTTATATTTAAAAAAAAATAATTTTTAATTACAAAGCACAAATAAGACATCTAAAAATAATTACAAAACACATACTAAATACAGATTTTAAATGTATTTAATGGTTCTAGTTTGGTAGATAGATTTATAAGTTTTTTGATTATACATCAGTTTGCATTAAAATAAATGTCTAGAATAAAGATTTCATATTTAAAATTTTAGATTAGTTTCAGTTTTTGAAAAATATTTGAAGTAAATTGTAAAATAAATTTCAGAGTAATAAAATTTTTTAAAAAAGGTGAAAAGAAAAAAAAATTATATAAAATAAAAAAAGTCATAAAATTAATATTTATAATTATTAGTACAAAATATAAATCCATCCATAATTTGAAACACAGTCCACTAAATTTTCAAATCTATTATTAATCAATAAAAATTAAATAATAAATTACAGCAATTTTAAAATTACTGAACATAAATTTTTCTAAAATCTGAAATAAAAAATTTCAAAACTTAAAATTTATTTCTCCTGGCCTTTGTTGCCACAAATTCATCAATTATATCGCGGAAATCAATATTTCGTGTTTTTTCGTTTTCAATAGACAGTAGAGCAAGTCCATTCAATCGATCCTGTCCCATCGAACTTCTCAAATAATTTTTTATAAGTTTCAATTTTGAGAAAGTATAACAACAAGTATAATCTCTACACACTGCCACGAAGTGCATAATACATCCTTAATCCATTATGGTGATTTTTGGTAGTAACTGACAATTTTTAATGTTTTTCTTTTCTTATTTCAAATTTTATTGTCGTAATCTAAATGTAAATACTCAAAGTCATTAACTTCTTTGTTAATTTCTTAATTCAATGAGAACTTCATACAAAAATTTCTTTCAATTTTAGTTCAAATGGGCGAGCAATTAATTATCTCATACACATTTTATAGATAAGCAATTACATTTAAAAGAGATGTTTAACAACTATTTAGATTTTAGACTTTCTTTTCCTCCTACACCAGTCGTTTATCATCATATAGGTCGATCATTTTAGAAATAAAATAAAGTTTCAGAACTTCCAAGTGTAAAAGTCTTTTTTTTTTCATGTGTTACATTAGAATACTAGGAATAAGCGTAACAAGAAATTTTTATGATATAGTATAGTATAGTTACGTTAGAATTTTCTTTCAAATGTTAAAGGGTAGGACATATTAATTTTAAGATATTATTAAAATGAGGAAAAGAAAGAAGAAACAAAATATCTCGATTTGACCAAGATTTCTTACATTTTGAGAAACGAACAAACTGTGTTTTTAGTAAAATATTTTAAGTTTGTATTTTAACGTTTTGTCTGCATATTAAGACATTTTTACGTATTTCTGCATTTTACATATTCTTGTCATCTAATTTATTGCATCCAAGATTTTGAACATATGACTACTAGGAAATAAAATTTTTATAATTTATTTTTGGTTTTCTCAATAGCGTATCATGAATTTCTATCATCTTTAAAAAATAAGTTAAAAGATTTTTTCATTGCATAATTTAAGTTCACATGCATTCCTTCATACATAACAAGCTAGATAGTTTTAAATGGCTTTTAAATCACTTTTCATTTTGACGTTTATTTATTGATATATTTATGCAAAATTGTTTGATAACATTTGTTTTATCGAATTAAAAAAAAACTTTTGTGATGTAATGCAAATTAGTTTACATTTCAAATGTTTCAAGAAAAGCTTGTAGATATTTCTAGAAGTAGTAGATCACGTAAGGAAAGATTTTCGATCAAAGTTTTGATACATAATTAAATGAGATGTAATTCAGGCTGATAGGATAAATAGTTTTGAAGTTATAATGGTCTTCTTCATAATAAGTGCATTTCAAAGACAGTACTTTAGTACACACACATGAAAAACAGAAACATTTCAACTTTTCAAATATAAGCACTGTTGTTTCGTGTTTTAGCTTATTTGGTTCAGTGATTTAAAATATAGACGAAATACTACCTCATTTGTCCGTATAGCATAGCAATGTAAGATAAATAAGTTCAAGTAAAAATGGTACTTGTTGTACAGGGTCCAAAAAATATATTAATATTTTGAGCAGAAGTCATTCATGAATATTTTGCCTATCGAAACTTCTGAACAGACAAAATGGCAAATAAATATATGTATTTATGATGTCATGTAATTATATATGATAAAAAATTATGACAAGAAACTAATATTTTTTAATATTCCAAAAAGGTTTTTTCTTATTTTTCCAAAACGAAAAATACGAAGAAAACCTTTTTAATGGTTTGTAATGACAATGAATTTTATCTAATTTGGATTTCTATATTGAAAAATACAATAGCTTTGAAAATATTTCAATGAATATCTTAAACATTGGTTGCAGTGAAAATCATATTCACAATGAAAAAAAATAAAAAAAAGTAATAATAAGTCTCAAAACTAGAATCTTAAGTGTAATGTTTTACACATCTTGTTCCAATATTGAAAACGGAAAATAAAGTAATTCAATTGATAAACAGAATTGTTCACACGTTTTGAAGAAATGATTAAATGTAATTCTGATGGTCGGATAAATTCCTTTCCTACATCAGCAATATTTATAGTTTCAGTATTAAAATTTTCAAAAATGTATACTATAGACTGAAAAAAATAATGCATGAAAAATGTTCTCAAAAAGTTATTATCACAAGATAATTACTTTGATGATCCTATTACAGTTTTATTTAAAAAACACTATATTAAGTGCGCTCAACACTACCTCCTTCCTCAAATGTTATGGAAACAAATTGTGCCATTTTCGAAAATATGATTTTTTTTCTAATTAAAGCAGTTTTTAATAATAATATTTTAGTTAAACATTTGTATCAAATATATTTCTTCGTTATTTTAATATTTAAAGTATAAGTTAAGGATAATTTTTTGTGATAGAATAAAAGTTACTTTTGTTTATATAAATTAGTGTTGTAAAAACAACAGAGATAGTTAAATAAATAAGACAGAATAAATGTGCAATGGGTTTGGTGTCTTAGCTCCGCTCAATATAATATGGTTATCATATAAGATAAGAATGAAATAGTAAATTTAAAAGAAGATTAATTGCATTCTTAACCCAATCGTGATATTTCCTTATTTTTTGAATTAACATATTTTCTTTTTTTTCTCTCTTAAGTCAGTGGTGCGCAAACTAGGGGTCGCCAAATTTTTATGAAATGCATTATCCCTGCATGCTGCATACTATACAGTGTACATATAAAGAGTGAAGCGCCGTCACTCACTGTTTAATTACAATTTCATGCTGTCCACTCTTTCTTTGACCGTAATGCGTAATGTATTCTCCATCTGGCTATCCGTGGAAAAACAATATCCCGTTTTATGCAAGAATGCCATCAGAGTGTTAATACAATTTGCATCAACGTATTTATGTGAAACTGGATTTAGCAAACTAGTTTCAATAAAAACTAAATACCGCTCGCGTTTAAACCCTGAAGATGATATGCGAATTGCAATTAGCAACATACATCCAAACATCGATGAGATAATTAGAAACTTGCAGCCACAT